CCACATATCTCCCGCAGGTATAATTATATTCCGAATGACGACGACATCAGAAATAGCGACTATTTTTCTCGTTAGTAATACGCGGTAGACCTTGTGAATCGTTGGGAAATCGTGCGAAGGAAAGTGCCGGAAGACGACTTTTTTCTTTCCTCTTTTTTTTTTTTCTCTATCGCCGCCGGTTTGTCATCGAGTTCGTGCGTTATCACGTTCACGTTGGTCACGTTGGTGCCTCAAGCTACTTTCGTCGTGACTGAGCGGGAATAGCACTTTGACAGGCGGCCGACTTTCATTCGATTAACGACTGCTTTTCGTCTTTCCCGCTCGTGTCGCGGTCTCGTGCGGGATCGATAGGGCCGGCCGGCGCAAAGACAGAACGGCAGAAGAGCAGTGGCGGCGCGTTTGTATCTATTGAGGCCCCTATATATTTAATTGATATGTTAATTTGAGTGGAAGGAAAAAAATGGGAAGAAATGTACATATTTTTCGAGCCTACATTTTAATTAACTTTGCCACGAATCTTAGAAAGCGGAGATTGCGCGAGTTTCATTTGTACGCTTATTATCTTCGCATCGCCTTTACTTGAATATTATTATGCTTCTTTCTCAGTTAATTAAAACCTTCAATTTGAATTTTCCGAGTCAGAAATTAATAACATCCGTGGATTGAAAACACGATAAATCTTGAATATCTGTTGTGCAATAGGTATCTGTCAAAATCAGCTGAGCATCTTTCATGCTTGACATGTTCTCGAAATAAGTGAGAAAATATCCAATACTGGCTGGCTTACATCAACAACAACTAAAAACTTGTGAAACGAGTTTTTTTTTTTCTATCTCTCCCTCCTTTTTCTTGAGAATAAAGGCGTAGCCGATTGCGTAACGCGCTCGATGAGGGCCATTTAAATTGCAGATGATTAAATTGGCCAAGGCCAATTTTGAGCGCGTGTAATTCGCCAAAATCCTGAACGTGCAAAGCGCCCTGAACGCACCGCCAGTTGCGCCCACGCTTAAATGCGCCACTGGGGCGGCGTATCGCGTCCGAGAGTAGCGTCACCGAGGAAGCCAGCGTAGTGAGGGACCGTCGGTCGCACGGCTGACCGTCTACGTCGAGCATGCTCGCCGGTCGATTAGACTCGTCGTCTTCCTCGTCATCATCGTAGCGTTAGATAGATAGAAACGTGACTCCGATGTGAACGATCATGATGATCGTGCGAAAGGTACGAAAGGATGACATATCGCTTACTGTAACTCTGAAAACGGATACCGGTAAAGATCCGAGGATTGGCGAGAAAGTCAGCGAAATTGGAGATAGAGATGATTCCACGTGATCGAGTGATATAAATTTGACAAAGGAGATTCATTACGAAATTTATTACGGGAATAAAAGAGCGTGTTATGTCCGATAATTAGAGTGTCAATCAAGTTACATATGGGAGTCCGATAATAGTGTTCGTGTTTGACAAATGAAGACCATAAGGCAATTAAACTTTTACGAGTCTGTTTTATTTTTTTAAGTGTTATTTAAGGTTTGTTGAAAGTTTTATAATTATCACGTAAAATGACGCCGTTTTTGAGTTTTAAGTCAACATATGTTAAAATGACTCGTAACGTTCTTTGTCTTCTCTGCAGTCTTTAAAAAAAAAAAAAAAAAAATCTGCAGTCTCAATATTTATTTAGAGCTTGACACGAATTTAATTTTGCATTCTCAAATATGTTCCTTTAAGATGGCATGAGACGTATGTCAAATTGTGAGTGCGTAATCTTGTGAAATTTATCGGTACAAAATTCTTATATCGTCAAGTTGCAATAATAAATGATTCTTGAGGACTTCTTTTTATGAGCGATGTCATTCTTTATGATGATCTCTGGGTACATTTGGTAATACTTTTTGTATATATTTCACGGTCGATGTTTATTATTATTACGAATATCGACTAACTTTATCACCAACATTCACATTCAGACTCGTGCTACTTTATTGTCGACGTGTATATTCGCATTTAGATTTTATCGAATACGAATATACGCATATATATATATATATATATATATATATATATATATATATATATATATATGTATATAGAGAAATGTGTACAAGACAGACAAATGCATATTTATTAATAATAGTAATAAAGTGTATAAATATGCATTGTAGTTGATATATATTTTGCAGTATATATATATAGATATGCTTATAGTGAAATTAAGTGAAATAAATCATACAATTATCAACATCTTTATATATATATATACACACGATATATTTAAAAAATTGAAATAGAAATGCCTTTTTTTAGGGTTTCTTAATTTAAGCAGAATCAAGAAGATTTAGGATTAATTCCCACGTTTACGTATGACATTTACGAAACTTTTCGCTGATATTTGACTGAGTTATCATTACACTCTTATCGCTTGCTACGCGACGTGTTTGATTATACGTCGATCCGGCAAGGTAATGCTGGATAAGTCTCTTATAGCACAATTTTTCTAGCAATCGATTTTTTCGTGATAAAATATTATTAAGTGTAGAAATACGGATATATTCGCAGATGCGACAGACATTGCACTGATCAATTGCATTGTTATTTTCCCGGGAGAGCTCGAGTCTTTAGATTCGTGTGTGTCCGACGCGTGCGTCTAAATAGCGGATTCTTATTTTAACGCGTGCACAGGGTGACCCACAAATACTGGTATATTTGGACGACGGTTTTCTAGATTATACGCGGAATTGATCTCCGTATCTAAATTTTTTATGTGTCTCTTATTTTGATATTTCGTTCACCAAGGGATCTTTTAATTTCAGTTGCTCGACAACTTCAACATTTTATTTACGTTCTAAAATTAAAACAATCATATCTCACTTTACTTTATTTGATCTCTGTTTACCGTAAAAATGTAAACCGATGCTTTCAGAAGAGCATACTTTCGTAAAACTACGTCACTCGTGCATTATAATTCAACAGCGATGAAATTTTGTTTGACAGTGAAACGCAAGGCTCGAAATATATATGCTATATATATATGACGTAGGCGAGTTGAATGACTTCCCGATTACTTTTTGAATGTGCAATAAACACAATACAAATTTTAAATACATACTAATGTAATCGTGCAACCGGTAGAATAAAGACGATCGATAGTATCAATACTGTCGGCCGAAGGTCAGCAATTCCATCAATTAGATATAATTTCTTCGATTAATGAATTTATGATATAGATAAATTAATGACGAGTTGCAAAATGATATTTCGGTGTAACTAATTATTTTTTTTATCAAGATTTTTTTTATCAAAAGCGTCAGATTGTTTTCCATTTCATGTCAGATCGTACGTGTCCTCTCATATTTTGGGATCGCAGTAGACAATGATAAGGACACCAACCGTTCCGCATCCGCGATGACAAGCTGATCGCGTGGATGTCTAGGCAGATGTATCATGTCCGAAATTATATTATATATGTATTTGGTCTCGCGTTCGGAATTAGGTAATTAAGGAAAGGCGCGCGCGTTGCATCGCATTAAAATTTTGCGTAAGAATAGTAACGTGCGTCGCGAATACCGCTATATTTAAGAGTCCCGTCTCGGCTGAAAGAGCTTGCGTAGCACATGGTCCAATTATATACTAGTTTCGCGAATGTAAACTTATGCATCTCCCGTCACGTCTCGTTTATTCATTTAAATACATAAAGTCCATGGTCTTTATGTGGCGGACGATTATAGCATAGATGTTGATGTAGGTATCAGTCCGATTTATGAAAAAGAGATTGACAGGTCCATCCAGATATGTTCAGTATCTTCGACGATAATGACATTAATTACTCTCGCGAACGGTAGATTTAATAAATGTTATCAAGAAATATTTTTTATAAATTTCATTTTTAATAATATTTAATTAAAAAAAAATCATTTTTATGATGATTTTATTGAAGAAAAATTGAGCGAGGTTGTAAAATTAAATAAAGAATCTGTAAGAATCTGTATGTGATCTCGCGGATTCTAAACGTATAATGTAGGAAGGAATAATATATGTAATCACGTAAAGCGTATGTTTCTTATATGTATTTTAAAATGTTTCCTGCAAGTTGAGCAATGTTTACTTTCAGCGTGTTCTTCAAGAACAAAGGCCACTGCGAACGTTCCGCACAGAGTTCAACATATATGAAAGCACCACTAGCGAGGAGCGTTATACATCCACGACCACACACTATACCCAGTCGCAGTGAGTATGACTTAAAAGCGTTAAAAGCAGTACGATTGAAGAGCTTATCTTCAAAACATGTTCAGCTTATATCTAGAAGATAGATTTAATTTCTTTTTATGGTATGCGTATGTGCAAAGTGTTTCGGTTCCATGTTTACATCTTTCAATATGACTGCTGTTGCAGATACACTTCTGAGAGACATGAGTCCACTGAAACGACTTTCTCGAGCGAAACCTCGAAGCGAACTTACGACACGGAGCAGGCGTATCGACCTAATGGCGAGACCACCAGCCCAGGGGCCGTTTCACCTATCGGCGCCGATGGAAGCTTGCTCAAGCGCTCGTACGAGAGTGAGACGATCAGCTCCAACAGACGGCAACATCAGCAACAAGATTTCTCATCCGTCGTGGACAGCGGCGAGTTTAGTAGCGAGCTTAGGGATCTTAGCAGGGTACCGCGTGTCGATGATGGGGGTATTATCGGCGCGGAGAACGTGATTGATGTTAGGGGTATCGTAGATCCGAGCAGCGGCGAGGTCCTGACGGTGGGCGAAGCGATTCGGCTCAGGATTCTCGACGTTAGGAATGGTAGGATCGTGACGTCGAGCGATGGCAGGACGAGCGTGTCGATCGAGGAGGCCGCGCGCGACGGTATCATCGACATCGTTTTGGCCAATCGGCTATTAGGTCCATGCGGGGTGAAATCCGAGGAGGGCCGTCGGGTATCCCTACTCGAGGCGATCCAGCGGGAGCTCTGCGACGCCGAACGAGCGGACATCGCGGACCGAGTTAAGGTAACGACAACACGCGACGATAACGGCGCCGGTAGCGGTGCCGTCGCGGGGGTTAGCGTTGTCGATGCGATGAGGCAAGGTTTGTTGGACCCGGCCACGGGCGAGGTCGTTGCCGAAAATGGTGAGCGGATCTCAATTGAGGAGGCGTACTCGCGTGGCTATCTTACAAAGGTGGACGTAACCGTTAGGGTGAGCCGCAACGCTGTCGCGCTATCGGACGCGATATCGCAAGGTCTCGTGGACGACCGATCCGGCCGCGTCGTCGATAGGATTACCGGTGAGTCATATCCGTTGGATGAGGCGATCGACAAAGGTATTATAGATCCGAAGATGAGAGAGATTGTGGACACACGGAACGATACCAAAGTGACGGTGGCTGAAGCCATGAAGCGCGGTTTACTGAACGCCAAGAGCGGTAGATACATGCACGGCTTATCGATGGAGAAGCTGCCGTTTAAGGAAGCTCGTCGTCGGCAGTTGATTGTTAAGCCGATGACGCTCAAGGACTGTTGCGATTTAGAAATCATTGACGACAAGGGCAAGATCGTCAGTCCGGCTCATCGCAGCAAATTGACGATACTAGAGGCTATATCCCGAGGCGTTTTAGACTCGGAGAATGTCAAATCTATAGTAGATACTCAAACAGGTGAAATGATCACGCTCGCGGATGCCTTAGCCAACGGTATAATCAAAGTCGAAGGTACATATCGCGATATGCTAAAAGCTGAGGAGTTGTCTGTCCCTCAGGCCGTCGAGAAAGGCCTGATTACGTCGGTGACACAAAAAACTATCTTTGACATTGACGGCTTTAAAGATCCGGTTTCCGGCGAATACATCAGTCTGAATGCGGCCTTGCTGAAGGGCTTGATTAGCTCAAAGTCCGGCGGTACTTTTATTATTGATCTGAAAACTGGGAAGACAGTTTCGTTGAGTGAGGCGGAAGAACAGGGATACATTAGACCGGAAGTGCTAGAAATGCTGAATCGTGGCATCGGCATCATCGAGAACGGACGCGAAGTGAGCGTTTTGGAAGCCGTACTGCTCGGACTGCTTGATCCAAAGTCCGGTCAATTACTGGATCCGCGTAGTAAGAGAATAGTTCCTCTGGAGGAGGCAATCAAGCGTGGACTCATCACTCCCGATGGTGCCGCATTACTCACCAGTATGCTGAACATTGCGGTCACTACTCAAACTGTGACAAAGACCATTAGGAAGTATATGACGACGCTGCATACCGGCGAAGTTGTTACGAGGAATTTTAAGATAAGTTATGAAGAAGCATTGAACAGCGGATTGATTGACGAAGATAGAAATGAGTTTACAGATCCTGATTCGGGAATGACGATGTCTATTGAAGATGCTATTGAACAGAGCTTGCTCGGTAGTGATGTTCATCAACCCGTCGTGCACTCATCTCGAGAACGCACTTCAGATTCAGCACATACGACTTTTGAAAGCACTCTAACGACAAATATCGATGACACATCTAGAAGAAACGAGTCACTGCCTAGAGCAGTTGGAACGGTTACTACTATCATTACCAAAGAGATAGCTCCACGAGCGTCTTCCACGCCGAGGAAGGAATCGTCTTCCGTTATGATGACGATTGCATCATCACCTGCAACTGATTCTGTTTCTTTTGTGACAGATTCACTCGCGTCTAAGATTGGAAAAACAGCATCACCCACGACAGTCAATGAGGTATCCAAATCTCAGATATCTGAGATAACATCGAAAACATCTTTCTTTGAGGAAACACATATAGCAAGTCATACAGGTGCTTCTAAATTACCATTATCTGATGAGAAACAAGATATGGAAACAGAAGTAATCGCTTCAACTACACCAACTACAAGCCACAAATCGGAGATCATGAAATTTATAAAGAGCGAACGTGCTTTTACCGATAAACGGGTATTTGAATTACCCACGGATGGTTGGACACTCGCCGAAGCTATTGACAGAAAACTATTTGATCCTGCAACAGGTCTTTTTATAATTCCGGGCACTGATAGATTAGTTTCCTTTGAAGAATGCATTAAGCTACAAATCATCAATCCAAATTCTGGTTTTGTTATCGATCCCAACAATGGAAGAAAGGTATCCCTGGTACGAAGTTTGGAAAAAAATATTTTGGATTCTACGGGTCACTATAGTTACCCGCAAAAAATTTCCATGAGAGAAGCGATCGCGAATGGACTGATTATATTGGAAGACGAATTGAGTGCCGACAATGACAATGCTAATCAAAGACTTTTGCAGATCACGAGAGTTTCGGGTCAACCTGACATAGTAGAGTTGACGCATATTGGCGATCCTTCTCAGCAAACAGAAATAAAGATCAGCGATGAGATCTCTATGCCAGATCCGGTACAGGTCACTCAGGGAGTAATTTACGATCCAGGAACGGCTTTGGTGATCTCCACGAAAACCGGCAAATCTGCGAATCTTTTGGCTGCGGTCTCCGAAGGAACGATACCATCTACCGCTGTAATTGTCAAGGATCCAATAACAGGTAAAGATATTAGCATGGCGGATGCTGTCAATCGTGGTATTCTTGACATGAACACGCGCGAATACAAAATCGACGGTGGCAGAAAGATATCGCTGCTCGATGCGACAAAGTTTGGGGTAGTATCCGTTCTTGGCGCTCCTCTTGCGGCCACTGCGGCTGCTATAGAAGCGGTGCAGAAAACGATGGTTAAAGATCCAGTAACCGGTAAGAAAATACCAAGAGAAGTCGCTATTGAACGTGGTATCATTCCAATGCATGACAACGCAACTTCGCCGATTATTGAATTTACAAGTAGAACACCTGATAATGAAACAGAAAAAGTTGTCGCGCAAGTTATAATACACGATGAACCTGAAAAAGTTTATGTACCGAAGGAAGATAGTAAGAGCGCAGCATTTACTGACTCGTCAACATCCATCAACGATGTTCCAGATGGCGAGAGTCTGGGCACAAAAACCAGAGCGCGAGTGACAGTCGAACCGAGATATCAAGTTACAATTGGCAAAGCGAGAACTATATCGCAGAGTCCTGAGCGGGAGGCGAAGCCTATTGTTCTCCAAAAGATGCGAAAGAAGATAGTGAAGGTCGAAGAGGCAGTGCAAAGCGGTCTGATTGATGTGGAAACGGCGGATACCTTTGCGAAAAAAATGTGCAACGAGAAAGGAGAACCGATTACCCTTTTGGAGGCTATCCGTGACAATCGAATAAACGCCGATCAGGGACAGATTGTGGATCCTCAAAGAGGCGACGTGCTCACCATCAAACAAGCCGTCGATCGCGGAATCTTGGATCCGGAGAACGCGCACATACTAGTGCCATTGGCGAAGAGTCTGTCCGTGCATAGCTTGTATACACAAGGATTGCTAGATCCTTTGGAAGGTAAAATTGTTCATCCGGAAACCGGTGCGCATCTCACTCTCAACGAAGCTATAGTATGCGAAATAGTAGATCCATTATCCAACTTAATGTTTACCGTCGACGGTCGTACAGAAACATTGCAATCTGCCATTGCGAACGATACCATTGACGCAGATAGATTGTTGGTAAAGACGCAAGACGGTAGCGTGAATCTAGTTAAAGCGATAGAAAACAAGGTATTCGAGTTGAAAGAACCAATCGAATCTTCCGATATACCGCCGGCAGGGATGACATTCCCTGTCGCTTTAAAACGTGGATTGATAGACACGAGCAAAAAAGAAGTTCGTCATCCGATTACTGGGGAGCATCTACCACTGGAGGATGCTATAAAAGGAGATTTTATCATGGCTTTACCTTATCCAATGGCTCCTGATAGTATAGAAATAACAAAAGCTCTGGAATCAGGATTGATCGATAGGGATAACGCTATATTTTTCCATCCTACTACGGGAACTCCAATTCCCATCGTCGAGGCTGTTGAATCTGGTCTGCTCATCATCAAACCGCCGGACCGCGGTGAGAACACGATAGCTGCTATTACCGAGACGATTACGTCGTATCATACTATTACGACCAAAACTGTCGAACTTTTGCCAGGTTATGCGCTGAAAAGCGCAATGGAGGTGCAAGATATTAACACCGGAAATATTATTACTATCGAAGAAGCTCGACGAAGAGGTATTATTAAGGACGAATCGGTAAGCAAGGAGAAATTTACAACGAAAGACATTAAAATGTCCTTCGATCACGCGGTAGAAAAAGGATTCGTGGATATAAAGGAAGGTATTTATACTGATCCTTGCACCGGCATTACAATGTCTATCGCTAAAGCTGTCGAGGAAGGAATTCTCGATACCTCATCTACCAAGAATGAATCTGTATCACCTAGAAAATCCAATAACAGTTTGACCGTGTTAGAGGCAGTCGAGCAGATTTACGATAAAGAAACCGGAATGTTTAAAGATCCTGAGACGAATAAATTTTACAACTTGAGGGAAGCAATGGAAGTGGGTCTAATCGAATCCGATTCCGTGCTTTATAATGTGAAAACCAAAGAAACTATCACTACTAAAGAAGCAGTCGAGAGAGGCCTACTCGATCCCGCCACTGGAAAAATGGAGACCGTACGAGATCAGAAGAATCGTCCAATTAGCATAGCGGAAGCTACGAAAATGGGTCTTTTGGCAGTCATCGCCGCACCGATTTTGGCTGGAAAAGCAGTAGTCGACGCAATTTCAAGTCAAAAGTCTAAGGAAACAAAACCGAGTGTGCCCGTGACGGCGAAATCATCCGTCGCATCTACAGCAAAGAAGGAACCATTTACAGAAATTATTTCGGCACAAATTCAAATTAGCCAGAGACTTCCTCATACTGACTCACACAAAGGGCCCAATGAAGCGTCTATCTCGCAAGAAAGTAAGAAATCAAACGTGGCAATGACACAAGAACATTCATCGGCACAGAGAAAGGAATCTTTGTACACGGAAGAGATCGATATTGTAGATATGGAAATAGAAGATGATAGTAAATTGACGACAATCACGGACGAAGAAACGCCTAAGCAAGATTCGATAATTATTACGAAAGAATTGACATCTCAAGTTCTCGCGAAATTTGGAGTATTTGATCCGGTGAGAGAAAAGTTTTTGGATCCAGAGACAGGCACCGTAATTTCCTTCAATGATTTAGTTTTGAATCTAAAAGTTTTTGATCCTGATCGGGTGCTTGTCAAAGACCTATCTTCCAAGATGGACTTGTATGTGAAATTGCGTGAGGCGATTCGCAGGCCTCTCATAGACCGAAATGTCGCTTATATGGTTGATCCGAAGACTGGTAAGAAGATACCGTTCTTTGAGGCAGTACGCTTGGGATGGATTAAAGAGGAAGACGAAGCAGAAAAAGAAAAACTTACAGAATCGCCTCTGAGTTTACAGGAAGCTATTGATATTGGTATATGTAATCCTATCACGGGGACTATCCAAGATCCTACATCGGGACAGGCGTTGTCTATGAGCCAGGCTATTGACGTGGGGCTCATCGATCCTGAATTGCTTAGTGTGAGAAATCCGATTACTGAAGAGATCATGCCGCTATCCGAGGCATTGGAAACCGAAGCTCTCGATCTTCCTAAAGATGTTATTATCAATATGGAAAGTAAAACAGAAATCGACGTCGTCACATCCGCGTTCTTGCGAGGTCTGATTGTGCCCACTTCTCGTAAACCGATCTCGCTGGAAGCCATTATCAGGAAAGGTCTTTATGATACCGAAATAGGTAAAATTCAGGATCCCTTTACTAAACAACCGATTGACATCGAGGAGGGTGTTCGTAGAGGCATTATCGACGCTTTTATCACTGAGATCGAGGACACAAAGGCCGGTTCGTCCGTTTCATTGGACGATGCGCTGACGATGAATCTGATTCTCAGCACAGGTCGTTTATGCGACACGAGAGCAGGAGAACTTTTACCATTAGACGTAGCGCTTAATAAAGGTTTAATTATTACTACACCGTTTGTACTTTCATTGATCGACGCGATCATTCAAGAGTACTATTCGCCAAAAACTGGCCTTGTTTTGAATCCCATGACAGGCGAGAATTTAACGCTGAAGGAGGCGTTGGCTATCGGTTATGTAAACGGCTCTACGACAGTGATAAAAGACGATAGGAAAGATAAAGTTATTTCTCTTAACGAAGCAGAGGAATGTAAGCTGATAGACTTAGTAAGAGGAACATTGATCTATCCACATTCCATGACATTGGACATTGCGTTTGAAAAAGGATATATTTTAAGTACTGTGAAACCGTGGACGTTGCAAGAAGCTTTAGCTCTTCAAGTTTACGATCCGAAGACCGGCAGTTTTAACATTGATGATAATAATTATACTTTAGAGGAGATGATCGAGAAGGGTTTTATTAGCAAGGACAGTCCGTCGATCAAGGATCCGAGAAATAACGATATCATATCTCTGGGTGATGCTATCAAACATGGCTTTGTCAACGCGAGGACTGGCACAGCTGTTGATCCGTGCACTAGCGTGCCTCTTTCATTAACTGACGCATTAGATCGCGGCTTAATCGTGCCAGCGAAACGCAAGATATCCTTACCAGACGCAGTCTTTAAAGGTTTATACGATCCAAAAACTGGACAATTCACAGTACCTGACACACAAGAGAAGCTTCCTACCGATCGCGCAATTAAGATGGGCGTGATAGACACGACTACTGCGATCGTACGAGATTCCAATGGTGATGTGATGACATTCAATAAGGCTATCAAGACATCAGTAGTCGACCCCAAATCTGGAACAGTCAGTCATGCCAGAGGACCGCCCGTAGACTTCCAGGAAGCGTTGGAACGCGGTCTGCTTCTTGAAACAAGAAGACCTATGAGTTTCAGCGAGGCTATTTCGAAGGGTATTCTTGATGAGAAAACTAATAAATTCTTAGATCCACAGACGGGAATTTATTTAACAATATTGGAAGCCATTCAGAAGAATCTAATAGATGCTGATTCGGTTACTGTCAAAGATACGAGATCCAGCATCTGGAAAACTATGACGTTGATGGAAGCTATAGATATGGGTTACGTAGATGGCACTACCGGTTATCTCAAAGATCCTAGCAAAAGTAATAGAAATATATCTCTAAGGGATGCCTTTGAATCCGGCATCATTGTTGATAGCAAAGCCGCCGTGTCTCTACAACGTACCATCCACCAAGGATTGTACGATGATAACACAGGCAAAATCACCGATCCCAGCACGGGAAGAACCGTCACGTTACATGAAGCAATGAGGAAATGTATTATTAGCCCCACGTTGCCGTGTTATTGGGATAAACGTGGCGGGCGATTGTTATCGTTGGCGGAGACGTGTCGCGCTGGCGTGATCGACAGACGCACCGGTATGTGTAAAGAACTAGGCACTAGTGGTTCGGTCTCGTTATCAGTCGCGTTACAACTCGGTCTTATCGTCGACATCGAGAGTATGGGATTCGGTCTTTATGAGGCGTTATTGATGAACATGTACGATGTCTCATCGGGCAAGTTTGTGCATCCGACTAACAATCGCAAGCTAACACTGGCCGAATCGTGCCAAATGGATCTGATAAATCCGTTGACGTCGATTGTCAAATGTACCCAATCTAACAGATACATCCCGTTAGCTGAGGCGATCTCCGCCGGCATCATCGACGACATTCGCGGTATGTATATCATTCGTGAATTAGACAAAGCGATTAATCTGCAAGAAGCGAGGAAGAAGGGCTTCATTGTCACATCGAAGATGCCTCTATCGATCGAGGAAATAGTCAATTGTCATCTTTATCGCGGAGACAGCGGCAAGTTCGCTGATCGACAGACGCACCGGTATGTGTAAAGAACTAGGCACTAGTGGTTCGGTCTCGTTATCAGTCGCGTTACAACTCGGTCTTATCGTCGACATCGAGAGTATGGGATTCGGTCTTTATGAGGCGTTATTGATGAACATGTACGATGTCTCATCGGGCAAGTTTGTGCATCCGACTAACAATCGCAAGCTAACACTGGCCGAATCGTGCCAAATGGATCTGATAAATCCGTTGACGTCGATTGTCAAATGTACCCAATCTAACAGATACATCCCGTTAGCTGAGGCGATCTCCGCCGGCATCATCGACGACATTCGCGGTATGTATATCATTCGTGAATTAGACAAAGCGATTAATCTGCAAGAAGCGAGGAAGAAGGGCTTCATTGTCACATCGAAGATGCCTCTATCGATCGAGGAAATAGTCAATTGTCATCTTTATCGCGGAGACAGCGGCAAGTTCGCTGATCCTGTCGCCAACGAGTATCACGATTTACTTCAAGCAATCAATTGTGGCCTCGTAGATTCAGATACTACTGCTCTGAAGGATGCGACGACTGGACAAATCAAATCACTGTTGGCAGGAATTGAGGATGGGACGGTCGACGTGTCTCGAGGGAGAATATTAGATCCTAAGACAATGCGCGCCTTCAATATCGATGTTGCCTTAGAAAGAGGTTTATTAGTGACAATCGATAAATCTCTGGCACAACAGATGGCACATCGATCACCCTTGGAAGTTTCCAAAGCCGGACCTGGCGATAGAAGCGTCAAAGAGTGCAGTCTAGAAGAAGCGATCAATTTTGAACTGATTGATCCGAATACATCGGTTGTGAGAGACCCCAGAACCGGTCGATTTGTGACGACGACGAGAGCAATAGCGGATGGTATCGTGGACCCATCCGTTAAAGGCACGATCGAATTGAACGGCGGAAGCAAAAGAGAACCGCGTTTTGTGCGTTTTGGTGACGTCACTGTATTCGTTAGGAAACCTATCGCTTTCGAGGAAGCAATCGAGAAGGAGTATCTATCGTTGGAATCAGGCAAATTCATGGATCCGATCTCGAATGAGCAATTTACCCTGAAGGAGGCGGTCAGCCTCGGTATCATAGACTCTGATTCGGCGCTAATCAAAGACTCACAAAAAAAGAAGCTAGTAAAATTGCCGGAAGCCTTCCGCAAAGGCATGATGGACGCGGAGAAGGGTAACGTATTGGACACGGCCTCGTCCAAATTGCACAGTTTGTCTAAGGCCCTGGAGACCGGCCTGTTGATCACCCCGAAAAACGACGTTTCGTTTATCGAAGCGCTGCAGTTTGGTCTTTACAATCCGACGACAGGCGGTTTTCACGATCCGTTCGTTGTCACTTCCGTGTTAGATCGCAGACGTTTCACTCTGGCAGACGCAATCGAGTCGGGTTTGATCGATCCGTCCACCACTGTGATTAAAGATCCTTTTACGGGTAATATCGAGAGTTTGTTAGAAGCGGTGAATAGTGGGAAGGTAGATTCCGTGGGAGGCAGGTTAGTCGAGGACACGGACGGCAAGAGTATCGACTTCGTGAAGGCCTTGGAGCGGGGTTATATACTCGCCGCTGAAGCCAGGGTAAGTAGGATCACAAGCAGAATGTCTTTTACACACCTTCGCGCCTCCCGCATCGATTGACTTTTTTTGTCCCCTTCGTTCGTTTTATTTTACTTACTGTTTTCTACACATTTTCTCTTACCCGAGTTTTACGTTGCTGCTCTGTTTCCACTCAGGTTCTCTAACAGCTTCCTAAGAGTTGGATGTGATCATTACTTATATTGTCACACGAATCGACATTACATTTTACTATCATGCGATTCTTTCCGTTAGATCTCATCCTTGCCTGAGACTTTAACGTGAATCTTATCATTATTCGCAAGGAGAGACGCTTGCATTAGCGCATGGTGGTCTCGCATAGCTCTTACCACCTTTAATAGTCTTCATTCTTGACTCGCATGACATTTTTTTTTTTTTTTTTTTTTTTTTTTTTATCAACAATTGAGGAAATTGATACGTGCATGGGCATATAGATAAGAATCATTTTCATTCTGGTCTTGCCTCTTTCTCCCTCTATTCTACAGAGGAATCACCCTGTGCATCCTTTTATCGGAATGCTCGCTCCCAACGTTTTTATCTCGCATTATCAGTCCGTCTCCTCATCACATAAATATCATGCTCACACCTTCGTGCTTACCTTAATGTGGGTTTAGTAAAGGGTCGGCCATCATCATGAACAACACTAATCGGACACCGCATATGTTCCTTTAAAGAACTCGCGATTATATAATCGGCGATTGGCAGGTGATCGAACGATATATTGTGCATCGCATCATATCAACAATCTCCTTCATCACGCAAAATATCATTAATCCCAAGCCAAGTTTGGTCGCATCAACAACGCTAATCTCTTTTTAATACATTATAAGTAGCATTAATCTATAATTTTACCGTTAATCTATAATTTTATTATTATTAATATTAATCTAATAATTTCTGACGCTCTTATCTTATTTTACGATAAAAACATTTATCGTCTTATACAATATATGTATAAATACGATATATGTATATATATATATATATATATATATATATATATATATATATATATAAATAAAAAATATTTTATGGAGAAAATATATACAGGGTGGTCCTCGTAACGGTCGCCACGATTTTTAAGGCACTTACAATAAT